GTCTTAGATAGCGCCCAGCCCCCCGGTCATTTCTCCCCCTCTCAAAAAGATAGGCAGCCGTTTTAGCGCCTCAGCTGCTGAACCGCGCTGGAAACCAATCGCTGAAACCTGTCCTGAGCCCTGGAGCTTGGGGCACCTCAAAACCAAAGCAAAGCGGGGGCGGGCTCCGTCACTGCCACAGTCCATTCCATCACTCTTCTCCCCTGCCTTGATTCTTACCCACTTCCAAAAGCCAAAGCCCACAACTTGTCTTCTCTCTTCCTTACGACATCGTCATTCATCAGCAGCAGCATCTTCGACTCTCAATAACAGCATCAGCTCGTCCTCAACGAAACATCGCGCACGCACGCTCTGCCTCCTTGAAATTATACTAGATCGCATCATTTCTCGACTCTCTTATCTCTAGACGCAATGGCTCCCCCGCCGAACCCCAATCTTCCTCTCCAGGAGAGGCTTCTGGCCCTTGCCAAGACCCTCCAGTGTACGTGGTATCTAGAGATGCGACCTTGCGCGCAGACATTGTAATGGAATCGCATTGCTAACTTGGTGTTTCTCTCAGTCGGCTGGTTTGTCGGGTACGTCTTGTCATGAACTTTACCTTTGTCCCGCTCTGCCTCGGTGCGACGAAATGGCCACGATAGCTGTTTTGGATCTTCAGCCTCCCTCTTTGGAGCTCACTCCACCAACGAATAACCAGTTCTTTGACTGACAAGCTCTCTCGACTATAGACACCTCACTCTGATCCTTACAACGGGCCGATATTTCTTGTCCTGGATTCGAATGAACTACTACACCCGCATGGCCCAGCTCTCCTACCGTACTGCCTTTATCGCTGCCGCTGTCACCTATGGCATTGTCGTCTACAAGACCATGCGCGCTCGCGCAAAGACTGGCGCCCGAGCTGCTCCCACTCCCATGGCTCTCCTTGCTGATGAGAACATCCAGTACCTTGGTAAGAGCCTCCGAAGCATATCTTGCTAGATCCGCGCAACCTTGCTGACTCTAAAAAAGCCATGGCCCTTGTGTGGCTTTTCTCTCCCCAGTACCCCCTCGCCTTGATCCCTTACACGATCTACTCGGTCTTCCACGTTGCCACCTACACCCGCGCCAACCTCATCCCCGTTGTCCTTGCACCCAAGCCTGCGCCCGAGGCTGCGGATGGCGCTTCTCCTAGCCGCCAAGCTGTTCAAAGCCCTCTTGCTAACCAGATTGGCGCTTTCGTCAAGGAGTACTACGATGCTTCCATGGCTATCGTCTCCTACCTTGAAATCGCTCTCTGGGGACGTATTCTTCTCTCCGCTATTCTCTTCCAGCGTCGATCTTGGATCCTCATTGTTCTCTACACTGCTTTCCTCCGTGCCCGTTACAGCCAGAGCACCCATGTCCAGACCTCTTTCCGCTCGCTCGGTGCCCGTGTCGACTCTCTCGTTAGTGCTCAGGGTACCCCCCCTGCCGCGCGACAGGTCTGGGGAGCTGTCAAGGAGGCCGGCAAGCAGTTCCACGACGCTACTGACGTCAGCAAGTACATTAGCGGCCCTGCCAAGAAGACCTCATAAGCTCGATATGACGATACGCAGCTTCGTGTCATTCTGACTCGATTATACTGAACGGATATGAATTGAGGCATAGCGGAACTAGACAAGATAGAAACGCCATGACGCTACGATTGGACTAGCTGCTCTGCAGTTAACGCGACGACGATTTCAGACTGGACAAAGAACATGGGTGTAGCGAGTACAACCGCACAACCATAGGAACGTGGAAAAGAGGCTTGGCCTCGTGACTGTATTTTTTATTCCTATACTTGGAGAACTTTTCTGGCGACTGTTCTCATGCGCACGCGGAGGGACCTTTGTGAGCCGAGCATATCGGCTAGGTGCACAAGGTATTGAGGAGGAAATGGAAGTGGCCATGGGAATGATGGGGAAAGTTCACGAAGGAGACTGGATGGATGGGTATGGATTTCCTGGTGTTAGCTTTATTGTATTCGAATTTCAGGTTTCATCATGATTTGTGCCGTTGCCAGTGATAAGAAGCATGATAAATTGCTGATCGCCCAACAAATATAGCTATTTGTAGACTGTAATTGGTATTTCCGAGGAAAACATGGCTGTGAACTTGGCATCGAAGCAGGGCGTTCTCAGAGAAGAAGCCATTGAGAGTATTTGATGGCAAAAGGCCCAGCCAAGTCTCAATTATAGTTTTCTACGAGAAACAAGGCTTCCATTTAGCTGCATGTCTTGTTAGATCTTGTCATAGTAAGCTCTCATCTCGTAGTAACGTCTTCATCAGCTGTCGATGATATCAAAGCCCGATAAAGATCAGGTCCCTTGGTGGGGCGCAAGGGATGACGTCGCCGGGCAAGTTACGTATGGATCTTTTCAGGCGGCCTCAGCCTGTTCTGTTCATCCCAAACCTGTCGCCTCCTTAAACAACCATTTCCAGCCGAATCAAGTTGTAGTCAGTCGTTTTGAACGCTAATACCTATTCTCGGCAACTTGAAGATCGCTGCTGGTGATGGCTTCCATCTTGCGACAGATTGTCGCGGGGCCGCGAGCTCGGCATCCTGAGGCTGGCTTGGATTTGTGCTATGTTACAGACCACATCATCGCGACGTAAGTCAAATATTCGGGGATATTTTGTCGGGGGAGCGGTATTGTATCAGCTCTCTTTAAAGCCATCTCGTTTTCTGACAACTGTGCTGACAACTGGCTTCTTAGATCTGGTCCCTCAGAAACATATCCCCAACTCGCATACCGAAACCCTCTCGATCAACTCGTCAAATTCCTCGATTCGAAACACGGCGAAGATTGGGCCATATGGGAGTTTCGCGCCGAAGGAACAGGCTATCCTGATGAATCTGTATATGGTCGCGTGAGGCATTACCCATGGCCTGATCACCACCCTCCACCATTCAGACTCGTCCCCATGATCATGGCGAGTATGCGCAATTGGCTACATGGCGGAGAGCTAGGCGGTGGCGTAGTCACGGGCGACGGAAGACCCATGTCCTCTGGAAAAGATGTCGTTACCGAGGCGCAAAGGAAGGAGAAGCGCAATAAGAGAGTGGTGGTGGTTCATTGCAAAGCAGGTAAGGGACGGAGCGGTACAGTGAGCTGTAGCTATCTCATCGCAGAAGAGGGTTGGAAACCTGAAGATGCTCTTGCGCGCTTTACGGAACGACGGATGCGACCGCGATTTGGTGCTGGTGTCTCGATCCCTTCACAATTGCGCTGGATCAGCTACGTTGAGCGCTGGACAAAAGGTGGCAAGAAATACACCGACCGACCCATCGAGATTCCCGAGATTCACGTCTGGGGCCTGCGAAATGGTGTCAAGGTCGATATCGAGGGTTTTGCAGATGAGGGCAAGAAGATTGATGTCTTTCACACATTCAAGAAGGAGGAGCGCGTGGTTGTTGATCCTGAAGCACCTGAGGAGAGCGGTATTAGCGATATGATATGGGAAATGGCCGGTTACTCGGTCACCAAGCAGAAGGAGAAAGCACCCGATGAAGCACACTTTTCTGAGGCGACGAACCCAGGTGAAACGCCATCGTCGGCAACTGAGGAGAAGGAGCATATTGGCAAGGCGAAGACTATCAAACGAAAGGGCACAGAGATGCTTCACAAGGTCTCGCCCGCTGGTTCGCATAAGGGTGTTGAGAGGACTAAGAATGACTCTGCTACATCGTCAAAGACCGATGTTACAGAAGCAAACTCGGAGGAAGAACCAGGTGGCATGGCGGTTATTCTAAGACCCAAGGCCCCAATCCGCATTCCAAACAGCGATGTCAACATCTCAGTCGAGCGTCGTAACAAGACCCCCAAGAGCATGGGCCTAACCATGGTAACAGCGGTCGCACACGTATGGTTCAACACGTTCTTTGAAGGCCAAGGTCCCGAACGAGACGGCAAGGCCCTCGACAGCGGCGTCTTCAGCATCGAATGGGACGCCATGGATGGGATCAAAGGATCCAGCCGTAAAGGCTCACGAGCGTTTGATCGAATTGCCGTAGTATGGCGCGTCGCTGGTACTGACGCTATGCCTGAAGAAGTCCTCGAGCCAGAGGAGGGACAGCCCGTGCCGCAGGTTCGACCGGCGGATTGGAAGGGTGCGAATATGGAGGATCCGGATAATCAGAAGGATCTGGGTCTTCGGGTTCAGAGTCCTGCGAGTGCGGATGTTAGTAAGGCGAGTAGTGTCAAGAGTGCTGAGGAGACGGTTGCGAAGAAGGATGGAGAGGAGTTGGAGGGTGTTAAGTCGAGTGGACCATCGGGAGAGGATTTGCTTATTGGGGATCATGGGGAGGTCAAGGGGGAGAAGAAGGCTTAGGTTGATGATATCCATGTATATGATTTTATGGACGATTAGATGTAAGACCATGAGTGTGAATAGAGTATTATGCTACCATGGCAATAAGAATGGGTATCTCTAATAGAAAGTGTCCTTGTGGACGACTAGCCTCAATAATGTCTACCCCTTCCCCTGTAATGCCTATCCCCTCGATATCCCCCATATGGTCCTCCCCTCCTATGATCCCCCCTCTCTCTATGCCCATGATATCCTCCCCTACCCTCCCTCGGCGGCGGAGGCACCGGTTCTTCAACCTCAACCTCATACTCTTCGTATTCTTCCTTAAAGAACGCTTCAGTAATCTCCCTCTCTCTCAACGCAGCCTCTGGCTCAAACACAAAACGCAGCGTGCCTTCTGGGCCCTTAACCGTTCGTTTTCCATCGCCAGGCCATGATGTTGAAGTTGCGGGTGATGTCGCTGATGCAGGTGTAGAGGGTTGAGGGTCTTCGGCTTCGCACCTGGAGCAGTAGTATAGATATCGAGGTTCGAACGCCTTGTCAAGATCGTTGTTAAGCCGAATCTTGATGTCAATGATCTTATTCTGATCAAACTGTGCCCCGACCTTTGTGGACTTGCCATGCTGGACGTATAAATCTAGGATATCGAGCATGGTCTCCATGACAGAACCCCAGTGGTACTGACGCTTCGTCTTTGCGTACTCTTGAACTTTGTCGATGTGTTGTTCTGTCATGAGGGCTGTGAGCTCCACGACTGCCATGACCATGGAGAACGTTGTGCGCTTTATGGGGACAAAGGTCTTGTAGATGTCGATGCACATTGCGTATGCAGTCTCGAAGAAGGGTTTTCCATCTTCTTTGCCAAAGATGTCGCGGACGACTTTCACGAGGAGTTTTTGGGGGTAGCGTGTGCGGAAGTCGAAGCCGATCGTTTCGAGGATGAGTCGTTCGAGGCAGATGATGATTTTGCCTGGGCCATCAAACATCTAAGAAAGTTAGTAGGGTTTGTGATTGCTGTTTGTTGGGTTTACCTTGTCATCGGGCGTGACACTTTTCTCGGGGTTCTTCACGTTATAAGCCGCCGCGAGAATCTCCTTTGACTTCTTGATAGTATCCTCCACTTTACACGCGACGAATAGGGATGCTAGTGCAGCGTCTTGATAGTTGTACTCGACGTCTCGAAAGTTGAGTCGGAATTTGTGGAAATACGTGCACGCCGTGTCGAACGTCCTCACAGGTCTATTGTTCAATCAGTCTCTGATCCCTACGTCCTCCCATAGAAAAGCCTGACGTACAATTGTAGATATTCCCTCACGTTCTCAATTAACTGCACACCTTGAAGACGGTAGTTATCCTGTCTTGCGGGATCGCAGCCATGATCCTTGAGCATACGTCGTAGCTTGAGCTCTGATGTATATTGGTTCGAACTGGAGATGGTGCCTGGATGGGGACCGATCCTTGGTATCGCGTCGCCATTTGTGGCCGCGGACGGGCCGTTATTTGAGGTTGTCATTGGAGCGGTAGAGATGTTGTGAGGTGTATGTATGTATGATGGCAGTCGCAAGTTTGCAGTTCGTTGTTCAGTGTCAGAATAGAATGGTCGATGAATTGGAACAAGTGGGCCTCGTCGCTGAGCGTTGCACCACGCAAGCTTTTCCAGCTTCAATTACGGATGGTCGGTATGAATTATGGACATGAAAGCAGGAACCTCTGGTTAGTTATGGCGATGATGTCTGTTGTCGCGTAAAGTCGAAATTACTTCAGTTGTCATGATGCAAATCATTTGCGATGTGGCTGAAACTGGCGACTGTGGCGCGGCTAATCATAAGCCTCAGATACACTTTCGTCATGTAAACTTGAGCACGACAGGAGACATGCAGGTGAATTCGTGTACCTAGCGCACACCCCCGCCGGCTTCAGGCAATATCGATGATATCTCGACCAGGTACAGATAGTAAGCGACTCGGCAAAAACAGGTATTAGGTTTTATCCCCTCATCGCAGAGTAGACACCGTGTTTTCTGTTGTCAATATATACTCTTGATAATTACGCCATCAATGATATACTTTTTCCACAGGAGCAAGAAAGTAGGTACCCATAACACTTTATAAAAGGTCGCCTAAATAAACTTAGTAAAGACTCCCCTAAACTTGGACTAAATTGCCTAAGCTTTTTCATCACTCAGGATAGACGGCTGAAGTTTTCCTTACTTCCCCCTATGAGTTGGTGGACCCTAAGGCCTACCTAAGCTGGCTAAGCCATTAAGGTAGCGGAAAGTGGAGGGGTCATAGCTGACGTCTCAGCTCCGACACAAACACTCCAATCAATACTGGGGCCAGACCCACAAGAATGCATAAGAGGTGCTGCTGCTGTTTCGGCTCCAAAGGGTCTTGATCTCCATCATCATTCATCTTCATCCATCTACATCATCACCATGTTTACCCCATCCTTACTCCGGCTTGGGTTAGCCATCGGATTGGCTGGACCGATCTATGCTTCCCCTTCTGCACCACGCACAAGAGATGACCTATCCGATGACCCATTACCTATTGTTGTTTGGCACGGTCTTGGTGACCAATTCAACAGCGACGGAATGAAGAGCATCCAAGCCCTCGCTGACGACATCCACCCAGGAACCTATGTTCATATCATTGCCCTCGATGGAGATCCCAGTCAGGATCGAGCGGCCACTTTTAAGGGAAATGTCTCGGACCAAGTCAGCAAGGTATGCGAGGAACTGGCCAAGCACCCCATTCTGTCTACTGCGCCTGCTATTGATGCCATCGGTATCTCTCAGGGCGGACAATTCCTCCGCGCTTACGTCGAGCGCTGCAACTGGCCACAAGTCCGTAGTCTCGTCACAATCGGCAGCCAACACAATGGCATCAGCGACTTCGACGTCTGCCGCCCTACCGACTGGCTCTGCAAGGGAGCTATGGCTCTCTTGAGACTCGGTACCTGGAGCGATGCCGTACAGTCGAACGTCGTCCCCGCGCAATACTACCGTGACCCAGCAACCGAAGACGCTTACAACAAATACCTTGAGAACTCCCACTTTTTAGCCGACATCAACAACGAGCGCGAGTTAAAGAACGAAAAGTACAAGGCGAATCTGAGCAAGTTGACCAACTTCGTCATGTGGATGTTTGAGGACGATGAACTTGTCAAACCGAAGGAATCTTCGTGGTTTGAGGAGGTCAATGGCACAGAGGTTATCCCTCTTCGAGCTCGCGAGCTCTATCGAGAGGATTGGCTTGGCCTTCGCGAGCTTGACCGCAATGGTGGCCTCAGATTCCGAAGTGCCCCTGGTACACACCTCCAGAACCTCCCTGAACTAATGAACGAGACAATCACCAACTACTGCGGCCCGTGGAGACGAACCTTTGAGTCGGAAATGAAGGACTCCGGGAATAGGTTGGAGTTGGTTTGAATTAATTAATAGCTTTTACACATTATAGTTATTCAGCAGACTGTTTTACCCTGCCATGCCTCGTCCACATGCACGTCGTTCCTACTATCACACTCAAACATGAATGCGTAAAATGAGCAGACTTCAATGACAAGGCAGAAGCCTCGACTTGAGATGCAGGCAACTGCACCTAAATAGTCTCAATTACTTGCAGGACCGACCCTTGGGAAAAGACATATTGGTGAAAGCTCAGCTCTAGGGTTGGTTTAGAAACGAACTGGGACGTTTGACTGTATAGCATCCTGAGCTCACTCATCAAGGTAATTATGACAATTCTGCATTGGTTAGATAGACGCTTCATCCTCCTACAAGCACCCAGATTCAATCTCGTGATCAAAACAAATTGTCTCAAACGAGGCGCAAGAGATGCATAAGACCATCCATATTGTATTGTATTGTATTGTTAATGCAATTATAGCTACAATTCTATTCTTTGGGTTTTCCGCCCTTCAACGAACGCCTCAACACCGATGCCTTGAATTGCACGTTTCAGTTGTCAATGGCCTTGCTGGCCGATGCCTTTTGCTTTCTCAACCGAGCCTTGCGGTCCGAGATTTGCTTATCGAGCTTGCCGTCGTCGGCCTCTGGGAGCTGCTTCTGCTTCTTGGCCTTCTTCGTAGGGGCGGCGGCGGGCTCAGCCTCGTCGGTGTTGTCGAGAGACTTGCGCTTCTTTCCAATGTTGGGCTTCTCACCCTTGGCGGCCTCGCCCTCGGCAATGACGTCCTTCTCGTCAACCCAGAGCTCATCGGTCAACCAGATGGGAAGGGCAGTGGTCTCGGGGCCCTTGATGTAGATGCTCTTCATGTTGCGCCACTTCTGGGGAATCCACTTCTCGATCATGCCGGTGACAACGGTATCGACGTTCTCGGCGATCTGCTCGGCGGTCCAACCGGAGTATCCAATTCGGATCGAGGTGTTTGTTGAGGGGGTCAGGCTGACGAATGCAGAGTCGATGGCCTTCTGAACCTCCTTGGCGATCTCGGCGGGAGTGCCTGCGTTGACGGTACCCTCAGTCTTGACACGCTTCTGTCGCTTGCCATCGACCTTGGGAGCCTTGGCCTGCAGGTTAACAGGGACAGGTCGCTTCTGCGTTGTCTTGTAAAAGGTCTTTCCCAAGATCTTGGGTAATCTGTTGATGATGCGATCGTCACCGAGGAAGATATCCGCCTCGGCGAAGAGCTTCCTCTGCGCCTCGTACTGGCTGTACTTGGCCTTGAGCTTTCCGTAGTCGATGACACGAGTGATGCGCTTGCCCAGCTCGGCGGGGAACTCCTCAGAGGCGACAATGTTCTTGTAGGCGCGCTGGGGCTCGGCGGTGATGAGGCAGATGGTGGTCTCTTCGTTGTTGAGCGAGTGAGGAAGGGAGATCTTTCCGGGCTGCAGACGCGCCTTGTCGACGATGTGGCGCTTGGTCGTCAGGTTAAGCCAGATGGGAGTCGTGGTAGGATCTTCATCGTCGTCGAGGAGATTGCGCTTTTCAGACTCGGCGGCCTTTTGCTTGGCGGCCTTCTTGATGTGTGCGAGAAGAGCCTTTGAAGCTTTCAAGGTCTACAGGGAACTCGTTAGATGTGTTGGACCATTAGATTCTTGGGGGAAACAAACCTGATCAGGGTCGATTGCTGTGACGGCGGCAGCGCCGGGAGCGGCAACTTCTTTTGAGGGCGCCATTGTTGTCGCAAAGTTGTAGATGGGATGGAGATGCAACAAAAAAGTTCAGTTTGATATGATAGTGGGGGCTTTATCAGTAGCTCAAAGGAAAAATAATTTTTTTCCTGCGATGGTTGGTTCTGTCGGAATATGCAAGTCCCGGGCTCCGGTCCAGGGTCTCTTAGCGGCGTTTAGATGTAAAAAATACTGGACAGACTCTGGAGATATGAGTTTGTACAACATGGGCTATAAATTAGCTTCTTGGTCATAGCTTTCTGATAATACTGAGAGAATACTCTTTTGTGATAGAAAATATGTCTCACAATTGAGTATCCTTTCATTGAGTGAATCAGGCCTTTATGGACTTACTCGTCTCTATCTGTATCCTTTTCTTACAGCCTACGGGGAGTTTCTAGCGGCGGGGCGGAGTTTGTTGTAGGATCCGCTGATTGTCGCTCTCACGTTATTCATATGAGATCCATCCCGGTTGTTCCTTGCTGGGCTTACAAGATGATGAGCTTCTGAATCCTACATCTAAACATCTCTCGTTTCTTGGTCTGTCTTTGTATATAAACTGTACTACTTCTCTCTCATATCCTTTACATAATGTCCCCCGATCTGCAAGATCCTGCCAATAGGAGAGCTTCATGTGATCAGTGCAGTATGTCCGCCCACCTTTCCCGCTTACACTTGGGGTCCAAACTTATATTGCGCATGCTGATCAATCTGCAAGGACAAAAGAAGCTCAAATGTGACGGGAGCTATCCATCTTGTGGACGATGCTCTACTCTTGGAGAGCTGTGCAAGTTCTCGGCTCGTATGCCTATGGGAAGACCTAAGAAGAGGAAGATAGTCTCCGAGAATGAAGCCCAAGAGAGCAGTGCGAGTAGAACTTCGCCGTCCACTTTGGCGATGAGTATTGGGAGTGATACTGGAAGTGATATGGGACGAAGAGGGAGCTTTGATCCGTGCCAACATATGTCTGAAGATGTGCCGTTGGATCTGTTACCTCTTGGGTGAGTTGACTGAATCGTCACCTTGATGGGCGAGCTGACTCAGATTTAGCAACGAGACAAATGTTGATCCGAAGTTATTGGCATTTGAATCTGATCCAGGCCAACAGACTTGCGCCTGTCTTGCGAGCTTATACTTGTCACTTGAAGAAGTACGAAAAGCAGATGATTTGCCCTTTACAGCACGACTATCTGTTCTGCGGCATTTGACCACCACAGCAGCAGGGATCATACAGTGTCAAGTCTGTCCAACAAAGTTTCTATGGGCAATGCAGAATGCCCAACTTCTGAACACGCTTATTATATCATTGGCGGAAGGATATAAAAAGATCGTCAAGTCAGTCGAGGACGAAACGAAACGAGCTCAGGATGCGGGAGAATCAAAAGAGTTATGTATCACTGAAGGTCAGAAGCTAGAAGCGCCTTCGCAAAATGATGGGTTAGGGTTCTCTCTGAGTCTGGACCCTCAAGATTGGAAAAGCATTGCGAACAAAGCTATCAGATCAGAGCTTTTTGGTACAGCGCATTCGAGCTCCATGTCCTTTGTGGCGATGTTGCAGTTGATGGAGGATAGACAGAATCTGTGGCATTCGGGAACGAGTCATGTACCGCCGGGTATAGGACATCGGTTGGCGCATCAGATGCATGATAAGGATCCGCATTGTGTGTCGGTTGTTAAGCATACGAGGGACATGATAAGTCATTTGTTAGCGGATGTTTGAGTGGTTGGTTTGATACCCAATATCAGGAGCGTTAACTTTCTTTACTTTGATTGTTTGCTGCGTTCATGGCCTAGTGCTTCCGATATCCTAGAGGTTGAAACAGAATATTCTTGATACACGAACCAAATGCGAGGTAATTTCTATGAATGTATAAAGCGCAGAAATCAGTCTTGAACGCTCACGATACTTTGCTTTGACCGTGTGGGATAATTTCAGAGCTTTGAAACCAACATGTTATTGGTTCGCCAAACCAGCAGACACATGTAGGGATATTATTCTCCATTTATTATGCAGTACAACTTTATCAAACGATCTGATAGGACTAGCCCCTGAACAATTCTGCTGTGCCGTATCAAAGCGGGTGTTGAAACCACATCTGGTATGCAAAGCGTGGCATGATAATTTGAGTGTGTTGGTTCAGTACACAAGGTAGAGATAAACAACGCAACTGCGAAACAACATTCTGCTGTCTTCCTACATGACGAACGAACAGTGTAAGAATGGAAGAAGGAAATAACTCTCAACCAGTTCAGGCTGTCGCCGATGTTTCTGGTCTTCTTCCTCCTCAGCATTGGGCTGAAGTAGCTGAGGTTCGTATAAAACGAGGTTGATCAGTATCATGCCACTAATGATAATGTAGGAGTTGGGTGATACGTACTCTGCTCTGGGAGATGATACTGCAGAGTCGACGGCGTCTATCAGGTCGAGTATTCTGCAGTATAGGAATATCAATGGGAGAACTTATCATCATGATATTGGGAATGCGCAGTATTGGTATGTTGTCCGCAGACTTTACGGTGCGGGATTAATGAGCATAGGGGGACCAATGATGAGAAGCAGAATGAGTCGATGGATATCAAGTAAGTTTATCAAACATAGGATGGAGACGAGTGCTGATACGTGTAGTCATCATGTTTTGACACTTGTTTTGGACGGCGCGCTGTATCTTGCGCCGATTCCTAAAGATATCAAGGTTCGTCGATGGTTTGAGCGATGGAGTGCCCTACTGAATTTCATAGAATGCTATTGATATAGGTACAGGAACAGGTGAGTTTCGGAGAGATAGTTGGATTGGTTGCGATCAGAGCCAGTAGCTGCTCAAGTGAGCTTAGGCTTTATCCAAACCGCGCCCCAGTGGTATTCTGGGTGAACTCACGCTGACATGACACTCTGCTCTAGGGATCTGGGCTATGTAAGTGTTTATGATCAACTGACTAAGTGGTTGGGTTGACTTATTTCAACAGCGATTTTGCGGATAGCTTCCCAGACGCGCAGGTCATAGGTACTGACGTCTCGCCGATTCAACCGGGCTGGATCCCTCCAAACCTACGATTGCAAGAGACCTATCCATGGCTGTAAGCGAATCTAACACTTCGGTAGCGATATTGAAGACTGCACTCAAGAGTGGACGTTCGCCCCCAACTCGCAAGACTACATCCACTTTCGCTGGCTTGTTGGAAGTATCGTCGACTGGGACCAGCTCTTCAAAGAAGCATATAGATGTCTTAAACCAGGTGGCTATATAGAAAGCCACGAGGCCCTTTCGAGGATGGACTCTGACGATGGAAGTATCACTGAGAAGAGCGCTATGCATCAGTGGGGGAAGTTCTTCGTTGAAGGGGGTAAGAAGATCGGTCGTTCGTTTACCATCGTCGAGGATGGAGTTCAGAGATCTGCTATGGAGAAGGCTGGGTTTGTTAAACTTGAGGAACGTGACTTCAAGGTAAGAAAACTTCTTCCAACGGCCACTTTCGTATACTAATATAGTGAACTGAACAGGTTCCTATCGGGGGTTGGCCGAAGGACCCGAAGATGAAGGAAATCGGCAAGTATGCACAAGCTACTCTTGAGCAGGACATCGAGGGCTACGTGTTGTTCATGGCCAACACCGTGGAGGGCTGGACGAAAGAGGAGGTTGAGGTGTATATATCGATGCTGAGAAGGGAGTTGAGGCAGGGAAACATGCATCCTTATTATTGGCAGAAGGTTGTCTGGGCCCAAAAGCCAAAAGAGTAAGGTCATATAGTTATTATTTATGATTTTCTTAGTATTCCTCATTGCCACTTCCATTGGTAGTTGCACTTCACCAGATGATGTGGTTCAAGTCTAGTAAGATCCCATTCTTTCTTCTATCAGCGCCGTGAACTTGACCATCTCTGAAGAGCACGGCTCTAGTATCTCTTTCAAGACGGGCTTCCACCATTCTTCTATTCCAGGACCAATACCAATAGCAAAAGCGTACTCCACATACTCAGGATAAAACCCGCTCAACTCCCAGTCGATGATCCCCGTGATGGTGCTTCCGTCAACCATGATATTCCGCGGTGATAAATCGCCATGCGTAAGGACAAACCGTCCAGTAGATTTACGTCGTTGCCGCTCCAGCACTTTCTTCCATTTCCAGCGTTGAATGGTTCCACCTGACAGTCTGTCGAGACACCAGTCATCAAAGGATTCCTCATCTTCAAATGGGCCGCAGTGTCTACCAAAAGTGGTGTTGTATATGTTGCGGGTGGGTTGCTTGTTGATACAGCCTATGTACGGCTGAAACAAAGTACGCATTTGATTTATCTGAGCTCGGAGCTGCTGCTTGATGGAAGCCTGCTCAGCTTCAGACATTTCTTGCCATACGTCGACAAGGGGCACACCAGGAACACGATCGCTAACCATAACACGGGCAATAGGTCGTTTGGTGATGATATCGTATACTCCTCGAACCTTAGGAGCCAATACACCATGTGTTGCGGCATAGTGCATCATGTCGGCTTGAGAGCGGTCGATGCCATCTGGGCTGCTGACCTTGAGTGCGAGTACTTCGCCATGAGAGTTGGTATGCTCCAGAGCTCGGTTTCACCAGTAGTTGTGTATCTCCTTGCCTACAACGGCGTCAAGGTAGGTGCATTTGAAATACTTGGGAGTCACTTCTTGTTCGCCGTTACTTTTCTCAGTCTCTGCATCATCCAACTCCTCTTGCTCTGCTTTTGATAAATTTTTCATGTTGATAGATGGCTTGCGATGAGGTCTCAATATGACCAAAGCTTTCAGATCGGGCCAGCGTGTATGTATACGGGATGTGAAAAAGAGTTATTCTTGTTTTTGTTGGGCGAGCGATTACTGTGCACAACATCAGCCTTCCACTTACCGACCAACCTCCTCTTTATACCCCTGCAAAATTCACCAATAGGAAGTCCATGACGAATAAAAGTGCAAGACAGAACTCAAGAATAGAAATCCTGTAACATCGAGTAATAAGATATATAGCATTAACTAAATAGAAATACTATTGAGAAACGGTTGTTGCGAACAGCTGACGGCTGATGATTACGTTGCCGCATGAAACGAGGCAGAAAGTCACGGGTCAAGATAAAGAACTTTGTGCACTGTTTAATCATCTCCCTGAAATTGGATTAAGTCAGTTATAACCGGGTTGTTGGGATGCAAGGTCTAGCCTGGAACATTGAGTGGACGTCGAAAAGCGCTTGAAAATGATACTCCCGCTCAATGAGCACGAATCGTACGAAGGGAGAAGAGAGATCAAATTGACTCGAACAGTCTGAGAACTCTCCCAAGGAACCCTCAGGGGTATGTATAGAGACAAAGTTCCCCAGCTGTCAAAGTTACAGAAGAGGGTCAATGACATGCATAACCTTGATCGAAAGCCCAAAAGGTTCAGCTGAAAGACCAATATAGAGTGGCTGAGTGACGAATGCGGTGACCAATGGCCTCAAATGTGATGGCCAATGAGTCTTTCAGCTCCTACACACACTCGATCTCAGGAGGTGGGCCTCGGGAAGATATGTTTCTTGATGTAAAAAGGTTCAAAGGTTTATTAGATATGTACTCTGAAGTGAACACTGAGTAATGTCGCCAGACGCAAGACAATTAACTTTTAACCCTCCTTTACTCTCCATACCTAACCTCCTCACTCGAGCTCCTTTTAACCCACCTGACATTATAACTCTCCTGCACAGCTGTTGAGATATTGAACCCAGCCATGTTCGACTCTTCTTACTCCTCGTTGCGGGGTACAGTGTTGCTGCCTCTGTGGCCCAACAGGCAACCCTTTTACTCTCCTGGGAGCACGGGCCGCGACGTGACGATGCCGGGTCGGCGCGAATGGGCCAACGATCGAGCCGCTTTAACCGCTTTATTAAAGGTCCACAGTTCCATCATGCATCCTCGAGGCGTGAAACAAAGAGCCTGACCACTCATCAGCGACAACATCCACGGCACAGCAGAAGTCACTGAGACAAATGTTGGGGAGCCTCTGCAAGACTTGAGACATAAATGACCAAGCAGAATGGTTGTCGAATAACACGACAGTTTAATCACATATTTCTGGACACCTCCACTGGGAGGTCAAGGTTCTTGGTCCGATTTAAGAGCACACTTACAGAATGATCCGAAGGCATAGCCCCATACACTTTTTCTCTCCTCTTAAAAGAACCACAAGGTATTTGAGAATCCCAATTAACAGAATGCGGTTATATCGACACCTCTGCCGGAAACAGTTCGTTGGCTCGGGGGATGATGCCTGCTTGGGCAAATGGGCTGTGGGGTCCGGGCATACTGTTAGGGGTCCGCAAAAGTAATTCGTGATGGTATTGTTGGTAACGTTGCCATTGTGCTGATTTCCATTGCCAAAGTGCTTGGCGTCTTTGCTGATAGTTGAGCATTTGAGGTCGCTGTCTGCGATGCCATTATTCGTATTCACCAAAAGAGGGACATTGCCGTCCTGTGAAGCCGACCCCACCATAACGAAGTATGTACTGTAAGGGCTGCCTTTGCTGGCAAACTGGCTGGATCGTGGGGTGACACAACACAACGTACAGAAGAAATTTTCATGTGACAGATTGATTGCGAGCTGACTCGTGCGTGATTCGGAAAGGCTTACGGAGTAACATCCTTTCCGATGCATGCACAGTCATCCCTGTCTGCATGTCGGGGGCCTCAAAATCTCCAATCTCTCCAAAAGCATGATAGCACTGATTAGATCATGGCATCCGGAGTATGGGAATGTGCCAAAGCTTTATTATTGCTTTATTTTATCACCCCATCATAACTAGCACCGCGGCTATACATGAGTTGCTATCGAACCAGTATTTTTAAGACGCAGTCAAGATGTAGATGCATATCGTTGTCACATCTCTATCGGAATGTCCATTTAAGTAGGTGTTGATAAGTGCTCTTTTAACCATTCATACATCCGGAAATCCGGGTCACGTACATGAGAGGCGTGCAGGTGAACATGTGCGTGATACAGCGATTGTTCGAGCTCACTTAGATGCCTTGCCTCGTTCACCAACGTCACAGCCTCATCACAATGTCTACCAAAGACGGAATAGGAACAATTCCCAAATTCCACAGCTCTAGGATGACCTTGAAGTTGACGTTTCCCTAAACTATCTTAAGCCTTCACGACCGCAATTCTTCCCAAGGTATCCATCCACACCAGTCACGTCATACAGGTTGTCGACCAACAGTGGCGTAGCAAACCGAGCCAACACAATCAACTTGATCAGACACTCCTTCTCTTTTAGGTACACCATTGCTTTGAGCTGAGTCCAAAGTATTCCATTGCACCCCGAGCTTCTTTGGCGTGGACGTCCTTAGGTGGTGGAGGTGCCCCTTCTGACAGCCCCCAAACGGGTACTGTTCTTCTGCCCTTTTTCATCCCAAGGTATTAGTTCTCTCTCTTTCATATTGATAATGGCAAAAGACTGACTAGAGACAGAAACGAATCTATCTTTCGAAATCTCTTTGATCCATACAAAAGAAAGCCCCCCTGCTCGTTGCGATAGTCGAACTCATTCGAAAAGCGATACTCGACTCCAAGCGATGCTGTAACTTGGAGGCTCGTCACCCAAGAATACATCTGGGTACCCAATCACTTCAGTAGGTTCTCTATTTACTCTTCGACACTTGATACCATTTCAAAGTATCTCCTTACCCCCCTGAAACGAAAATCAATACTCGATACAATACCACCCCGGTGAAGTGCAAGTCTTGACTTCACGAACATACTCAAGAACTCTCGTCTCTGTGATGAAAGTTTTGCTATACTTACTGACCGCTTTATCATCAACGTATTAAATGCCTTGTTTCTATAGCCTTGTTCTGCCGTGTTACTCTGCTTCGCCCCCTCGGAGTGCCTTAGGTTTCACCGCAGTCTGACACATGAGGCTCTGCTGTCAATCTTTCACACTTTTTCACAATCTGCTCTGTCAATGGTGCCTGACTGTCGATGCCATACTCACATCTTGGCCTTCCTTTGCGGTCGCACCTTTCACAATTTTCATAATCTGCGGTTGATTTCTATGCCACGTTAGCACAACCATTAATTTCTCCTGCATTCTGACACACCATCTGAGGGCAGTATCGTCGTCGTTGTTGCTATTCACAGCTCCTTGCCATTCTCACCGCTCTTTGCTGCGACGGTTTCGCTTGCCTTGTCTTCCAAGTTGAGGCTATCATGGCAGAGATTCTTGGGGTCGCGGCGTCGGCGAGCCAGCTTGGTCTTGCATGCTTTTCTTTGATAGATGTTATGAGGAAGATAAAAGGGGGAGCATCGACGCTGAAAAGATATAATGAGCAGCTCCAAGAACTTCAGAGCCTTTCTACTAGCATCTCTGAGAACCCCCTTCTCCAGACCCCTGAGATAGGAACGCAGACTGACGCTCTTCTTTACATCATCAACAATAACTGTTTAAACTCGTTACTCCGAAAAAGCAGAGTCCTTCGTACTTGGGGCTTCCTGTACAGAGAGCAAGATCTTCTTGATATCTTTGTCAGACTTGAACGACAAAAGAGCAACCTCTCCTTGGCCATCGAACAGATACAATCCAAAGCCTTGTATCAAATACAAACAGACATACAAGTCATGGCTGAAAAGAAGTCGCCGGATGTTCCGACTCCTGAATCTCCATTCGGGAAGTTTCCAGCTCCCTTGGTCGAGGACGAATTCACAGTCTTCCCATACAACCCAAACACTCCTGGCCCGGCACCCAATATTCATTCTTACAATGATTTCATCAGCTCACTGGTAGCTTCTAGGGTGTCTAAAGACGCCCTTCAGAGCCAACCTCCTGCATCTCACGGTAACGCGACCCCAGGCCAGAACGATTCATCCACTTCCGTACCCATGCAGCCGAATGAGCAATACGACAACGCGCTCGCAGTTTCCGGATATCATCAACGAAACGGAAGAATAATCCACATCGATGAGCAGATGGCAGCAAGGCTGTCCATGGACAATGTACTTCAGACGAACCCCATAACTTACAACAACTCGACCAAAATTGGGTATGGTGACCAGCACAATGGTAATGTCATCGAGTTTGAGGGCCGAACAGACTACGTCACGCCTATTTCGAGCGGAGACAAATGGAACAATCCGATGGCGTTGTTTTGGCTTTCTGCCGGTTCCGGACCTGTCATCTTTGGTACTCAGCACAATGGGCCCATCATGCGAACCAAGAAATAGCTAGGCAAAAGAGAAACGTCACAAGTAAGGGGCCTGAGAAGACTTGTGGCCACGATAGTTGTTATGCATGTTAGGAGAGCGATTTGCGAGTCATGGGGCTGTCTGACTGTATATATCAAGGGAGATTCGGTAGAATAGAGAGTTCAACTGTTAACTGTGTCGTCACAGCAGCAGCTGCCGTAGTCCAACGAGGAATATACCAGAATTGAGTAGGATTGATCTCGCCAAAGTGACCCAAGAACTCGCGTTGCAATTGAGTCTGTCATCGAGCTCAGCCCTATAGTTGATCGACCTAATCTGACAGCGCCACGTGTTTCGCATGCAGCCCATTCAATTACCCCTCCATTCAAGATCACGGCGATTACTCGAAGAGAGCACGAGATGGTTTCAACTTTACCAAATCAATTGCTGTGTCTATACAAACGAATCCTACAGTCTCATGGCCGATCCACTATCTATTGGGGCCAGTGTCCTGGCATTTATTGGCCTCGCCGACCGCATTATTCACACATGCAAGTACTACATTGAGGCTATTGAAGATGCACCGAAAGACATCCAAATGATATTGGGCGAGGTAACCTCTCTAAGAGCTATCATCGACAGCATTGGCGAATCAAGCGCGACAAGCCTCGTGCCAAATCTTCACGAACAAAACGGACCTATCAAGTCATGTCACAGCTGTCTTGCTTCACTCGAGGCTCTTCTCCCACTGAATATGGGCCAATCTCAGACAGGCAAGCGACGTAAGCTGACGTTGGTTGATCTCGCGTGGCCTTTGAAGCAATCAAAAGTCAGGAAGCTGTTGGCAGAGATATCGCACCATAAGGCTACCTTATTGCTGGCCATGTCTGGTGACATGAGGTATGTCTAAGGTTGCTTTGGTGGAGTCGAGGCTGACGAAGTCTATCTAGTCGAGACCTAAAGGAAATCAGAGCAGGGATTGAAAAGTTACAAGGCACAATCTCAGGTCGGTGATTTCAATTGATGTCCAGAATAAACTGACGCCCTCAAAGAGTCTGAGACTCGGGAGATCATCCGCTGGCTTGAGCGAACAAACCCATCATCTCTTCACAACATAGCGTTCAGCAAACACGAGCCCCTGACAACTGCATGGGTTACCAATTCTTCCCAGTGGAAGAATTGGGTGTCATTAGAATCTGAGACCAGACTCATGTGGATATATGGGCTCCCTGGTGCTGGAAAAACAGTTCTAGCATCATATGTCATCGAAGAGCTCGAGAAACTGTGCGAACCTGTCGACGGTAGTTTTTGTAGCTACTACTACTGTCACTACTCTCATAATCAGGACGAAGCAGTGCCATTTTTGAGCTGGGTCATTGGCCAGGTATGTCGACAAATTAGCTGGATACCACCTGAGTTAAAACGACTTCATGACCGTGGCTGCGAGCCTACAAGCACTGATTTGGAGCGAATTCTGGAAACAATTTTGCAGAAGGTCGACAGTCTCTTTGTCGTCATCGACGCGGTTGATGAGAGCACTCCTCGAGAGGAGCTCCTGTCGATCATTGAGATACTGACAGTCGATAAGCGGTTTGAAAAGATCAGGATACTGGCAACCAGCCGGCAATACTTTGACATAGAACAGTCTTTGGGTGGGATATCAGAAAGTATATCAATGTCAAACACAATGGTAGACGCTGATATTCGACGGTTTGTACACGCTCGACTAAGGTCAAGCCATCGGTTAAAGCGATGGCACGAACGATTTGACGAGATTGAGGGCATTCTGGCCGCTATGGCACAGGGAATGTAAGAGTTCCCCATTTAAAATCTATCATTCATTCACTTTTGCTAACTTGATAACACAAGGTTTCGGTGGGCTGAATGTCAAATTCAAGCCATAGAGCGACTTCGCGACCATTCGAAACTCCCGCAACTCCTATCCAACCTCCCCAAAGATCTGAGCGAAACTTACGTCAGGATCTTCGAAGCGATACCTGAAGACGATAGACCGCTATTTTGTAGTATCCTCACTTGGATCATAGGCCATTCTCAAGCCGATTGGATGTATCACGTTGGCGTGAATGCGAATATGCTGCTTTCCGCAGTGACATATGAGCATTTCGGGTCTGAAGCCAAAGGCCAGAAGTCTATCATTGACCTCGAGTATCTAAAAGAGATATGCGGTTGCCTCATCACGGTTCGGTATGTTCCTGGGGATATCTTCGATAACTGGGTTGGCGAATCTCCGAGATTACAGACTAGAGAAGCTACTGACGGTGAGGATCTCTACGTCTCTCTCGCTCACTACACAGTACTGGAGTTTCTGGTATCACCGCACGTCTTACAACCAAATTTCCCATTCTTCACCATGTCCCTCGAGCTAGTTCGCTTGGAATTCGCAAAGAGTGTTCTGAGACAAGCCCTAGCGGCTGATCCAAAGGGGACAAACACTGATTGGATTCACGACCGTGAAGCATATTGCCTCACCCTTGGCTGTGCCTTAGATATGCATGAGATATCAGCAGATTCCGATCTTCAAGACCTCTTCTTGCGGTACATAAATCCCTGTGCCCCGCACTATGCGCGCTTCGAAGCTATCCAGTCCCAGATTGTCCAAAGTGATGACGACTCTCGATGTTACTTCTTGAGACACATCCCGGCTCGCGTCGAATGGGCTACTACGGAGAATGAGATTGGCAGATTAGGTGTAGCGCTGATGAATATTCTTTTGCTTCAGCATCAGTCGATTCAAAGGGAGCTTATGCCGTTGATCAGAAGACTACTTTCTGGGAGACAACTACATGAGCTTCTGAATGCCACAGTGACAGCTACTTTTCTTGATGAAGCTGATGAAGAAGATGAAAACGGGAACCAGTTATATGTATTGCATGGAATGGTCTGGGAGATAGTAAAGTGGCGGCATATCTTTCTTGACGATGAGGAGCTTTCTGAGTCTTTAGATATGTTATGGCGCCATTTGGGGTAAATAAAAGACCGAAATCATCTATATAAGACAGAAATGAATATCAAATAAATTATTCTATCAACAGTTCATTGCTAGACTTATTTGCTGAGTGCCTGGTCTAAGTTGACTTGTTGGCTCGTCCACGTGACATGTCACATGCTCCAGAGGAATTTGTTCCGCGCCATGATAAGACCAATTTTTCGACTTTTGACTTGGAGCAAAATCGCTGAACGGCCAAGTACTTTTATCAAAATGAATTTCTTCAACCCATTTTCCCGACCAGGAGCTCAATGGACGTTTGTAGGCTATACATCATCATTTCCAGATGTAGACGATGATGCAGGTAACCTGGCAAAACATCGCTTGTGTAACGGAAAATCAATACCAGGCTGCAGAGCATTTCACATACCAAAGGAAGATGTCTCTTCGTCAAAAGAAGTCCCAGTTGGAGATGATTCTACGTTGGAGTCATTTATGGATCAGGTGCTTGTGTTTCAATACAAAGGAAAATTCCATGCAATCGATCATGTGAGCAAATGTCTTTGAGAACATTGTTACAGGGGCTAACAAGGGTAGTCATGTCCACATAGCCAATATCCCCTTTCCAAAGGGACGCCGTTTGATATTGAAGACTTTGGCGTTGTACTGAGCGCTGGAGTGTCGTGTCCAAATCACGGCTGGTCGTTTGATCTGTTTACTGGCATGTCAGATCGGGGGAGCTACAGACTCAAAACTTGGGAGGTGGAGATTAGGGATATCAAAGAAACGGAGGGCACTGATACAAAGGAGAAGAATGACTTGAGGAAGGATAAAGAGGTTTGGGTGAGGAGGAAGCAAAGGATTGGTTAAAGCGATATCGGTAGGGGTTCGCCTGGCAAATGCAGGGTAATGGCAGGTGTCGATGAATTCTTTGGGTACCAAGAAAGAAGACAACGCAGATAATGATGATAATAAAAAGAGGGGCTCAGAAGGGGTCGCGGTTCATTCGTTGATTTGCGGATAACGGCAGGTGTAGATGGATGTCTGGGGTACGGAGACAGAAGATGGCGGCTGGCAGATGCATATCACGAAAGGGGACAAGCGAGGATACACGCACGATGATTATCTCCGAAACTAGTCACGGCTGATCATTCGGCACTTGACAGGTCTGAGCCATCATCCCATACAAGCCAGGGATAGACTTGGTATGTCACTTGACTCCCTGATCACAAAATACAGATGCAGTACAAGAGCATTGTTCCCTTCTCCCTGGAGCCATACACGGGTTACTGCCCAGCCAACCCTACTACGAGATTCGTGTCTACAGGATGGATAAGGCGAGACCTCTATTCTGAGACCATACAGAAAGTGCATGAGCCACAAGGTTAGGGATTTAGAGATGGGCGACGTTGCAACAGCGTGGCATTCCCCCGTACTTCATTGGAGGGCCGAGGTATCACTGAAAAGCCAAGACGCCGGCTTGTCAATGGCTTGATGGCGGCAGTGAGCGTGATGAGCGGACAACCCGACGATATACGGATAACCCGACCATGAATGGATAGCCCGCAAACCAGCGGATGGCTCGGGAGTGAAAGATTAGGACTCTGATGGCTTTGATGAGCACTGGACTACTGGCTGTGTGACTGCGACTTCTTTTCTGGTCACTCGCCCTGCCATATCTATGTAGAACGGACAGCGATGGCCATGATGGTTAGTGATTATGAAGATCATGGACCGCTATAACCAGAGACAGACACTGAAGCTCCGGTTATCGAATAGACGCATGCCATATCAGATCATCCACCCTCGTCATGGTATCCTCCGAAGCTTAACTCCATGAATTCAATCTGTCTTAATCTAGCTAATAACGCCTGGCACGTCAAATCTAAATGCAACATTCCCCTCACTATTTCGCAACTCTCCCTCACCAATATCCCACGTCCCGAGAGGACCACCGGGAAAGTGGAGGGACCCCCGACGCCCTCACCAAAACCACCAGCTCAACACTCCCAGATACAGCTAAGCCCGCAACGCCACCAAAGTATCTACTCTATCTGGTTGGTTCGTGCGGCAGACACCCCAGTGATCTAGATTGAATCTCGGTTACAGACTTTCACAGCTCCCATGGGGTAATCCGGGGTAACGTGGAGGAGAAGCTGGGGAGTGAGGAGTACTTAATTCACCATGGCCTACGACTAAAAATTCCAAAAACATCACCCCTAACTGCAACTTTACAATAAAATGGTCTCTTTCAAAGAAGCCTTTGCTCTGTCTTCGCTTGAAGTCGAGGTTGCGACGCCTCCTGGCACAGTCCAGATTCACCGTGAGATTTTCTTGCCCCTTGACGCGTCGCGATTTAAGGACTAATAGTAAAAAGGGGAGCAGGAAGATGCGGGCCATGTGATTGTTAGCGGACAAGTAACGGATGATCCTCGAGATCCTCTGAACTTGCCGACATGGCATAAAATCGCTGCTCTGAGCGTTGCATCGCTGTATGCCTTCACTGCGAATTACACAAGCGGTGTAATCGCGCCTGCATTTCAGCTCTGGCCCATGATCTTTCCGAAGGATCCGAGAAGCTTCTCTGAGCTCTCCAAGTTGATTGCTGTAAGTTTCTTCCTCTCACACTAACTGAAGTTCACTGCTGATAGGAACACAGGTCCATATCCTCATGCTCGGTGCGTCTAATATTTGGTGGGTTCCCATGTCCAACTGGATGGGCCGACGACCTGTTCTCATCATCGCAACGGCCATACTCACCTTCTGCACTCTGTGGTGTGCACTCGCGACGTCGTATGAGTCCCTCATCGTAGCTCGAGTCTTTCAGGGCATTGGAGGTGGAGCTGCAGATACTGTTGCCCCGGCGCTTATTGGAGATATGTTTCCTATTCATCAGCGTGGACGAGCCATGGTAAGCACCCTCTTCAACGCCAACAACAACTAAGTCCTGATATTCGTGATAGGCCGTCTACACCATCATGCTCGTCGTCGGACCTCTCACCGGTGGCATCACAGGAGGATACATCGTCTACCAACAGGGCTGGAAGGCCATCTTCTGGGTCTGTCTCGCCCTCTCCGCCGTGTGCCTCGTCGGAGCAATCTTCTTCGTCCCCGAGACCCTATATATCCGAAGCGCACCCGTCGAAGGCGTGACAGACCCCGAGACCGAGAAGAACGCCCAGTTTGGCAAAAACGAGCACGTCGAGGATAAGCAGTCCGTCACCGGGGGTGACCAGCGCGTCACGCACTCTGCCTACGGCTACGTCAAATCTCTAGGCTTCGAGAAGCCTCAGGGAAGCCTGCTGAAGCAACTCATCCAGCCGTGGAAGACTCTTGCTTTCCCTGGTACTTGGGTGGTGATGCTTCACTATGCTGGGCTCGTGGGCGGTATCGTGACTATTTCGACCATTGGGCCTTCGATCATGGCGAGCCCACCTTATCTTTGGAAAGCTAACGCTGGTCTTATCAACGTCGGTGCTGTCATTGGCGGTATTATCGGCTATGTGTATACGCACATGCTTGCTGATGGTAGACTTGTCAAGAAGGCTAGCAAGACACGAAACGGTGTAGCTGAGTCTGAGGACCGATTGCCGACTCTCTTCTTCCCTCTGTTCATTGCTACTTGTGGCTTTTTGGTGTTTGGATTCTGCGCCAAGAACCCTGGTGGACATACCTGGGTTGGACTGCAGGTTGGCTATGGCATGCTCAGCTTTGGTCTGATGCAGGTTCCATCTGTTGGCTTCAACTATGTAAGTTTCATACCATTCTGATCTTTGTTTGCTGTGTGTACTAACAAGTATAGTTGATCGACTCGTATCACTCCCTGGCAGCAGATTGCTTCACCATGGTCACGATTCTGCGTGCCATTATTGCCTTTGCCTGGACGTTCTTTGTGGCTGATTGGGTTCAAAAGGACGGAGCTGCAGAGCCTTTTGGCATCTTTGGAATGTTGATGGGTATCTTTTCTCTGATGACTGTTCCTCTTTGGATGTATGGAAAGCGTATGAGGATTGCTACAGCCGAGCAGGTTCTTCGATGGCAGGGATATTAATCCAAGGCCATATAGTCTAGTTGTCATGATGAATGAGTAGTCTATGCTTATCTTATCACTTGACCAAAGTAATATGTCCATCCTGACCCACTTCAAGTCTCGTGTCTATTTGTCCTCTCGTAATATTGTCAACATAAAAGTGGTCTCATATTTACTGTACTTACCCGGTCCACGGTCCACGGGAATCGGAACCCCTCAAGCCAAGACCTTCTTCATGCCAAGGGTTTATCGATAATTGGATTGCGTCCCACTGCCAAGACCGACCCTCTCTGCTCACCGCACGCACAGCCCCCCCAAACAACTCCCCCTACACCTACGGCACAGTAAGCTCACCATCACCACCAACAAAAGTCCTATAACCTTGTGAAACACGTTTCAGCACCGTAGAATCCCTACAGGAAGAGGCCTCCTCAGTCAAACAACATTTCCTGTCCAATACCCGTCGTGCCGAGCCGTGTATGCGCCTTAGTGGAGTCGTCGTCAACCGCGCGCTTTGGGATGGGGATGGAGATGGAGATATTCAGGGGTCCTTGTAAGAAGTGGACTCTTACGCTGCATTGCATGTGCATTGCAGTCGTGGCAGCTTCAAAATCCTTTTCTCGCGGTTCACTCGGTCTTGGAGGGTCTTGGCTTTTGTGCGGAGGTGCATGCGCGAGGCCTCTCGTGAATCACTGTCAATAATATATATAGTTCTTGACTTCTCACATAACTTGATATTACTCCTGCATCTACAACTTCTTTTCCTCTTACAAATACATTCACATCAGCCAAAATGGTCAACTTCCACGAGAGCTCTTCTGACATCGAGCTTGAGGACGGTCACATCCTCGTCGCTCAGTGCAACGATGCTGATGGTGAGCCTCAAGAGTCTCGTCTTGATCTCGACTACTACATCGGCAACAACGACGGTGCCTTCTACTGGGGTGGCGAGGGTAAGTAAACAAATATTTCAACTATACGTCTACGTGCTAACCAAGGCTTCAAGGCTTCT